TCCAAGGCGGGTCCATCACTGCTAACACGCGGAGGGCGGCGCTCGAACGGACGAAGACCTGGTGACCCCCCAAGGAGAAGCTAAAGGGTCCCCACATAATATTTTGGGGCCTGAATACATAGAATAGGGCTTGAGGGGGTGATTATAGTATACCTATGAAGGGGCCAGAAGGGACTACTGTTATTGCCATTATTCCGACCCCTATATTACGCGCCTAGAGCCAAGCGCAACCTAGGAATGCGAAGGGTTTCCTTTTTTGGTGTAAAGGGGCTTGGAATGGAGAGGGCCTAGGTGTCAGTTGTGAGTACTAGGTACCAAAACCATACGACTTGTTGCTGAACGTGCTGGGTATAAGAGTTTGGATTTTTGGGATGAGGTTCGACTAGCACAGGATCCTACAGAAACAAATTACCACTTGTCACCCGCGAAAGCCCCCCCCATATATATATATATAATATACACATGCATACCTGAAGGCTCTATGTAGTACCTTTTAGGTCAGCTGCTTTTGGACCCCCCCCCCCCCCCCCAAGGGGTTCCCCTCAACCCTAAACCCTAAACCCTGAACCTTAAGTCATATTTTGGTGTTCCTAAGCAAATAGTAGTCAAGTCTTAAAACCCTCCCTCACAGGCCTGTCCATCCTGTATCACAACGACGGTGGACCTCGGACTGCTTCTGTAGGGTGCAGGGTTTAGGGTTTAGGGTTTAGGGTTTAGGGTTTAGGGTCAAGGGTTAGACAATTTACATTCTGGGGTTGCCAGGGTTTTCTAAAGGCGTTTCTAGGCTCATGGCAGTTGCGGTTTTTGTTCGAGGGCCGGCCTCTGAACCCTCTAGAATCCCCCTTTAGCTATAACTTTAAACAGGGAACTACATTAGAGCCTACAGGTGGACCCTGAGCACCCAACACCCCACAGGTGCTGACCCGCCGCATTTTTGGGCATTTTGGTGTTTGGGGGCGGCGTTTGACTTCTGGGATTGGATGTGCCCCCCTTATATGCTAAAACAATCCTTAGTAGGGATTCTCATGAGGGCGTACTATAATTCTATTGAGGACTGTTCGCATAAGGGGGAACATCCCATTTGGGTCTCTAGGGTCGGGGTTCGGCTCCGTCAGATAGGAGATTACGGTCTCGCGGGCCTCTTTTGAAACTGCCGGAGTTGCGGGTGATTCTGAATGTTCACGAGCCATGCAGCCGGCCCCGAAACACCAGCCCTGACCGCCTGGACACCAGAAACCTTGTAATCCCTCTAAACCCTAAACTGGAATCTTCTAGCTGGCAACTACGTGCGACCTTAGCCCTGCACGCCACCCTTATCCCTAAACTGGACCAGCCTGGGACACTTGAGAGACAACATTCCGTGACCCAAGTGTAAGGTTTAGGGTTTAGGGTTTAGGGCAACTTGGCTTCCCACATACCCTCCTCCCCGCCCTCGGCATAGCGGCCGGCGCCGTATCTGAGGGATGTCGTGTGCTTCAGGTACTTGAAGCTTCGTGGGTGCTTCGAAGCAGTGTTCGATGTACACTACATGAAGTTATAACCATAGTTAGCCTATAAACCACCCTACTTCCGAGTACCCAAGGACCTCCAAGAGCCATAATAGGGTCTAAAGAGTTTGGGGTTGAGGGTTCAGGGTTTAAGGCTATGCCTCTGAACGCTGAGACAGCAATCAGACCCCGAACCCGACTCAATACCCTAAACCTCTAATCAAACCTTCAAACCCTATCAAATCTTCACCCTGTAGACTGCGAAACCCTAAACCCTTTAAACCCTAACCCTTGAATCCTATAAACCCCATAAACCCCATAAACCCGATAACACCCATAAACCCTATAAACCCTAAAATCCCTGTAAACCCTATGTAAACCCTGTAAACCCTGAACCCTGAACCCTGAACCCCACACCCTATCGACTCCAAACCCTATAAACCCCGAAAGCCCCATGAAGCTCCCGTAACAGCCCCAACAGACGCAAGCGAGCTGTCTCTGCAGCTTGGAAGGTTGGTTGTTCTGGGGGGCTTTTAAGGTTTTGGGGCTTTTTTAGGTTTTTAGGGCTTTTTGGGGGGTGTTAGGGTTTGTGGGTTTATAGGGCTTTGACTTTAGAGGGCACTTCGGGTTTCACGGGTTGAAAGGCTCTACAGGGTTAGGTTTTGCAGGATTTAGGGTGATGCCCTTGCAGCCTGAAACGATCGAGCCTTGCTAGTTGCCACTCTCCGAAAGGGCTTCAAGGGAAACTTTAGGAGTGACACCTCCACCCTACATCCTACGCCGTATGATAATCCCTAAGCCCTCAACCCTCAACCTTATACCCTAAACCCTGAACCCTAAACCCAAAGCCCTAAACCCCATACCCTAAACCCTAAACCCAAACCGCTTTCAGTTTCATGTGAAGGAGTCCCCGGTCACAAAAGCCCGGCCTTTCCAGGAGCTCTTTGTGCTTCTGAAGCGCTCCAAATCGCACACCTTGCTGGGTTTAGGGTTTAAGGTTTAGGGTTTAGGGTTTACGGTTTAGGGTTTATGGTTTAGGGTTTAGGGATTAGTGTGAAGTTTACAGGGCTTCGGTTTCTCGACATCTCAACCTGTGGCCCTGGAGACCATATCCTGTGTCTACAGTTTATATCCGAACTGCTCATTGAGAGGACCCACAACCAAGACTCACCCTCGCACTCTATCAAGCTGAAGCAGACCTTCCGCCAAATGCACAATGCTGAACCCCAAGCCGTTAACCTTTGACCTTTTTGGGGGCACTTCTATCACATGGGAAGCAGGAGGCACCCCACCCGAGCTGATGCTAGTAGTGGATGATGCAAGGGAAGCAAAAAAAAAGAATAAACAAACCAAATGTACAGAGGACGGCGTCGATGTGCAAAGATACTGCTGGTCTGTATATATATATATATATATGTGATACATCTACATACACATATGTATATATATATATATGCATATACACATATACACACATCTGTGTGTGTGTGTAGAAATGAACATAATTGGATTGCCTTACAAGGGGGTTTTAGTCTTTTCTTTCCGGAGATACGGAAAACAGGATGCCGTTTATCTACATGCGAGGTCCTGATAGTGAAGGTCCCCCCCCGCCCCCCCTCGCGCCTGAATCTGAAACCCTCAACCCTAAACCCTGAACCCTGAGCCCTTAAATCGCAAGCCCTTAATTAAACCCTAAAACCCTAAACCCTAAACCCTAAACCACCACAACGCTGAAGCCCTGTGATGCTTGCTCGAGACTGGGTTCCAGGAAGTGAAGGCTCCTGGCCTCGCAGGCTCTTGGCTTGGTAGCGTGTACCCTTTGCTTTGGGCTCAAAGATTCCCTTCTAAAGTAACCAACCCCAAAAAGGCTAATATGGTTACTGGGCTACTTAGGGGTTCGAGGCGTTTAGTGAACGGTTTGGGATTTAAGGGTTTAGGGTTTAAGGTTCGAGGTGTAGAGGTTTAATTAGGGTTTAGGGTTTAGGGTTTAGGGTTCAGGGTTTAGGGTTTAGGGTTTAGGGTCTAGGGTTTAGGGTTTAGGGTTTTAGCGTTTAGGGTTTATAGGCTTTAGGGCGACCCTAAGCCCTGAACCCCCCCCCACCCATTCCAACACCCCCGGGGGTGGCACGCCCCTGCCCGTCACCGGCGTAGACAAAATTCACGAAGCCGTCACAGAGGTTGCAGACCTTGAGGAACCATTGCTTGCGATCTTCGGGTTTAAGGCTTAGGTTTCGGGGTGTAGGGTTTAGGGTTCAGGGTTCAGGGTTCAGGAGCAAAGTGACAAGTGGAGAGGGTTTCTTCTGGATAAGGGTGCACTTGCAGGAGCCCGTTTTATGAGTGGATCGTGTGGAAGCAAAGACAGGAAAGTCGCCCTCAAGAGGGCACCCCCCCCCCCCCATCCCACAGTGGCGACTTAACATTTGCAGTCTCAAGCCCGACACTCCAAACTTTGAAGCCAAGAAACCGGAAGCGTAATCCCAAAACCTTAGGGTTTAGGGTTTAGGGTTTAGGGTTTTAGGGTTTAGGGCACACCTCCCATACAGGTACCTGGGAGGGCGTGAGGGCCTTTCCGGGTCTAGGGTTAGGGGTTTAGGGTTTAGGGGTTTAGGGTTGATGAGTTTTTACCTGTGACTCCAAAACCCTACAAGATGGTAGGTTATCCCCCCTGAGTATAGTGCATAACCCCCAGAATATAGGGCACAACCCACAAAATAGTAGGTAAATGGAGCCCCGGGTACAGCTTCGGGTATTTGATCTAGGGTTGGTAGAACCAATCCTTTCTGACCCTCTCAGTGAAGCCAGGGGCTCAAATAACCCTTAATTCAGGAAGAACATTTTGCTTAAACCATACAACAAAGGAACCCTCCTAAACTTAAGTAATGCTCCTCAATTCCCGAAACCTCATTCTGGTTGGTCCATGTTAGTTGGCTCATTTTGGGTTTGTTCATTTTGGTTCGTTTTGTGGTTGGCACACTTTAAAGGGTTCATTTTCTGGTTGGTTGGTTCATTTTGGTTTTAGGGTTTAGGGTTTAGGGTTCATCTTGGTCCTGAAGCCCAGTCTGCCAATACTTTCTGCGGATCCTGCGGCTGCATCCTCCATCTCCTAACCTTACTAACGGTTACTTATCTCCAAATAGCCTTAACTGTGGGGGGAAACCTAGGTGGGGCAGTATAGAAGGGGGTAGAAGGGGAACCTGTGAAAATCCTATTGAGTTCAGGTAGGTCCAGCGGCAAAAACGGGGCTTACTCCAGCTTAGCATCCCTAAACCCTAAACCCTGTAACAACCTTGAAGCCCTAAACTCTACTTGGAGGTTAGTTTGGGTACTGATAAGTAGGGTTTAGGGTAACGGGTAGGGTTTTGGGTTTAGGTCTTAGGGCGCTAAACCCTTAAGCCTAAACCCTTAACCCTTAACCCCGAACCCTAAACCCTTAAGCCTAAACCCTAAACCCTAAACCCTGAACCCTAAACCCTAAACCCTAAACCCTTAAGCCTAAAGGCCCTAAGATCCCCCCTAAGCCAGCAGGTAGCTGCACGCCCGGCGGTAGAACTCGGACGTCACCTCCCAGGCGTCCAGGGAGGCCTTCCGCATGGCTTGCCGCGTCTTGAGCAAGTCCCCAGTTTCCAAACCTCGGCTTTTCTTGAGGGTTTAGGGTTTAGGGTTTAGGGTTTAGGGTTTAGGGTTTAGGGTTTAGGGTTTAGGGTTTAGGGTTTAGGGTTTCCAAGCCTCGGCTTCTTTGGTCGTTGAGGGTTTAAGGCTCAGGGTTTGTCCAGAGGGGGATTCAGGATTTCATGCACAAGGTATGTGGACTCAGTGGATGGGTTGATGTAAATTATATCGTACCTGTTGTTGCTACCAAAAGGGTCTGCAACTTTGATCAGCCCGCGTATGGCTCGTAACATTCAGCAATAGTAATGGGAACTTTGACCATGAAGTCTTCAAGGAGCTGGCCAGGTGGTGGAGCAAGTCTGTAATGGAGAAGAAGCGATAGATGTGAGGCAGCAGGACATAGTTGGCAGTTGCGATTGCCTGTCGCAAGGTATCCGCAGTAAGCTTGGCAGCGCCAGTGTAGATTTCGCTGGAGTTCCGCCAGGCCTCGGCCCATCCCCAACCAGGATTCCATGGCGGGCCCAGATCGTCAGCCCGTGCGTAGTGGAGCTTGGCGTGCTCCCCACGCAGCAGGTACCAAGGATAGTTCTTGGTGCTCACAAGCTGCGCGTAGGCGATATTTACGACGAGCTCCGGATCGGGCATAAAGATGGGCAGTGCCACAGCGTACAGGTCGTCGAATGAGATCATCCCCACGTCATGAGGGAAGAGCACTGCCGCTGCAAAGCGATTGCTGAGCCCGGCATAGGTTGCCATGGAACCATCAAGGTCTCCAGGTAGGCTATAGACCTTACGTCTCGGCCCCTTGCCGGGCAGGCGCCTTATGTTCTTGAAGACCAGATTGAAGGGAAAGTCCCCCTCATCTTTGATCTGCTGCTTCAGGTAACGCCACAGGCACATGGAGACATCCGGTTTCAAAGCCACGTGGTTCTGCCAGAAGAGGACTTCTCTGGCATCCGTCGGGTCACCAGGACCAGCTTGAGCAGCCTCCGCAGCATACAAGTTGTGGTTGCGCACCACGGGCAAAAGGCAGCCAGTTTGGATCCACACCTGACACTCACTTTGGAGGTTCATGCTTGGGTACTTATATAAGTAGGGATATGGGTATAGGATAGCTATGGTCAGAGCCCTTATAAGTAGGGTACTTAGAACCCTATACTGTATAAGTACGATGAACCTCCAAGCAGAACCCTCAACATCCCCCAACTGAGTCCTGCAGACTCGAGGCCCTTCCACAACACCCTAAACCCCGCAAACCTGCGAGTTCCTAGAAACCTGTCCTTATCCCTTCCCCCTTAATTATAAACACCCCCTAACTGTAGAAACACTTTCTGGAAACTCCTGCCGAAACCGACCCCACCTTTTAAACCCTATTCCGAATTGGGGGGGTTCAGGGCCTCAAAAATCTTCAAGCCAATCGACTACACCCTGTCCGAAAAGATGGCGTATGGACAAAACATCCCCCTAATGTTAAAAAACACATTTCGAGTTTCTATTGGGGGGGGGGGGGTGGGGGGGTGGGGGGTCGCACGTTGAATAATCAGGGGGAGGGACTATTAACCTACAAACCCTATGCCTATAACTTGCTGTAGGCCCTAGCAAGCCTTCATCCCTACAAGCAAGCCTACAAGCCCCAAATCCCTCCTGGCGCTGGAGGAAGATCAAGCTCGTAGACGTCACTGTGCGACCTCTGCTTGCCTTGGGGACCAAACGAACCCTCAAAGGGCTTCTGGTTCATAGACCCGAGTGAGATGACCCCTCCTGAACCCTCAACCCCCCAAACCCTCGAAACCGCAAACTCCAAACTGCAAACCGCCTCGGCCTCCCCAAGGGTTCATTTGGTCCCCAAGGTGCGGGCGAGGGCCTGGCCACCTCGCGGAAGAGGGCGACGAGCAAGGCCCGGTGGTCCTTGCGAGATTTTCGGCGTGACGATTGGGTTTGGAGGGTTTCTGGCAGCTCAGGGGTTTTCTGGCGTTTTGGGCCTCTGTCCAGCCCACCCGTGCTCAAAAAAGAAAGCGTTTTTTTGGCCCCAACACACCAAAAGAACCCCTGCCTCATTAACCCTGGCTCCTGAAAAACCTCGGTCCTCGTCAGGGGGCATGCGGAAGGCCAGGGGCGCTTGAAGCGTGATCAGCATGGGCAAGTCCGTCACCATGCGCAAGAGGAGGCACAGGGTTGGGGAGTTGCCTGCGAAGAGTTGTGGGGTGGACTTAGGGTAAGCAAGGTATGGCTCCTTTCAGCCATAAGGGCTTGAGGGTAGCTACACAGGGCCATAAGGGGCTTCGTTGAATGCTGCAAGCAGCCCATGGATCGGCTGCCTCCACCGCAGACGAGGCAGTGCGACTGCCGGATAAAGCTGTCCGCAAGGATCACCTTGCTCAGGGTGTCCAGGGTCGGCTGCAGTGGCCGCTGGTCCACCAGGTTCGTCCACCTAGAGAGATCGATGGACCATTTCCCAAAATTGGGGTCGCCCTAAAGTATGCCCCAAAATACAGCAATCCGACCCTTATTCAGGCAACCGAAACTTGCTATGCGAGCGAGGAAAAATTTAAGGATCTTGGTTGCTTCAGGCCAGTAAGAGGAGGGGTGACGTCAATTCTGGACCCTTCTTGGCAACCCTACAAAACCGGAAAGAACAATCAGTAATTTACCTGACCGAAAAAAGGGCCGACAAGTTAGATGAGCCCTCGGAAAGCGTCGGGTCCTCAAGCTTTGGCCGGGGCGCCAGTCGGGCGAAGGCGAGTACGATAGCCGGCACTGTAGGCGCTGAGAATCTGGCAAGCACACCTCCGACATCAACTTCTCGGATGGTGGGTGGGTGGCCCCAAACAGCACGAACTCCTCGGATAGCATCAAGTAACTACGTAAGCTACCTTGCTGCTTGTTTGTTGTTTGGAGAGGGAGGTTACTTTTGCAGCTGCTACCCTGAACATTAAATCCTAAACCCTACATCCTACACCACCCCTTAAACCCTAAACCATCCACCCTAAACCCTAAGCCTTAACCCTAAACCCTAAACCCCAAAGCCCAAAACCCAAAACCCTAAACCCTATCTGCTTTGGGGTTTACATAAGACAGCCTCAGCCGACAAAAACCTACACCCTCAAAACGCGAGGAATGGGGACTCAATGAGAGCCCCACTCGAAATCCGAGATTCAATGGCCATGACCCTCAACCCTAAACCCCCATGCAAATGGAAGGGGGGTTCAGGGCTTAGGGTTTAGGGTTTGGAGTTTAGGGTTTAGGGGCAGGGGCTTGGTGGGGTGCCACTGGAATCAGAGACTCGAAGGCCATAGTCTCTGGCAAGACCCTTTTCATCGCGAACATTGGCTCCAACAAGGTGGTCGTGTGGACACCGAAGCCAGCAAAGTGCAGCATCTGGGTCTAGGGTTTAGGGATTAGGGTTTAGGGTTCAGGCTAAGGGTTTAGGGTTGAGGGTTTCGGGCTGAGGGTCGAGGGTTTTGGGTGCAGCTTGGGTCAGAAGCAGTCCCAGACAGTCGTGCCAGTCTCACGAAAGCCCTCTTTGGCATGGCTTTTGGGTGCGAAATCCATCATGGTACTTCAAACCCGAAACCCTAAACTTTTAAACCCTCGGGATCTCATAGCAAACTTGGGCTTGATTGAGGCTCGAGTCATTTGCTTGTTGTTGACTGCGGGCCTCCTTCCGAAGCGGCGCCGTGCTCTGACGCTCGGGCAGGCGCAGGGCCAGAGCAACATCCAGCTGTTGATGGTACTCGGCCAGGTAGAGGTCCTCACCTGCGTCGGGACAAAGAAGGATGCTTGGGTGGGCTGCGGTGGAAAAAACCGTCTATCACAAGGCTGTATGCCACGTTAAGCAAAGCATAATCAAGCATCTACATATGCACTCATACATAAATGATCATAAAGGTATTTATATATGTACACCTACATATATATATATATGTGAGAGGGACCTTTTGGGTCCATTTCACGTATATCACTTGTATGAGGAATTTAATTTATTTACCTATTAATTTCTTTAATTTCTTTAATTTCTTTAATTTCTGGGGCTCTCTTAGGGAAATAAATGAAATTAAAGAAATTAATTAATTTCATTAATTTCTTTAATTTCTGGGCCTCTCTGTGCGAAATTAAAGAAATTAATGAAATTAATTAGTTTCTTTAATTTCATTAATTTCTTTAATTTATTTTAATTAGTCCCGTGAGCCGGGGGGGCTCCCCCAATTAATTTCTTTAATTTCTTTAATTTCTGGGCCTCTCTGTGAGATTTTAAAGAAATTAAAGAAATTAATTCCGGTAGCCCTTCGGGCTTGCGAGACTAATTAAAAGAAATTAATGAAACTAAAGAAATTAAAGAAATTAATGAAATTAATCAATTTCTTTAATTTCTTTAATTTCTTTAATTTCTGGGCCTCTCTGTGAGAAATTAAAGAAATTAAAGAAATTAATTAATTTCATTAATTTCTTTAATTTCTGGGCCTCCCTGTGAGAAATTAAAGAAATTAAAGAAATTAATTAATTTCATTAATTTCTTTAATTTCTGGGCCTCTGTGTGCGAAATTAAAGAAATTAAAGAAATTAATTAATTTCTTTAATTTCATTAATTTCTTTAATTTATTTTAATTAGTCCCGTGAGCCGGGGGGGCTACCCCAATTAATTTCTTTAATTTCTTTAATTTCTGGGCCTCTCTGTGAGAAATTAAAGAAATTAAAGAAATTAATTCAGGTAGCACTTCGGGCTTGCGAGACTAATTAAAAGAAATTAAAGAAATTAAAGAAATTAAAGAAATTAATGAAATTAATTAATTTCTTTAATTTCTTTAATTTCTGGGCCTCTCTGTGAGAAATTAAAGAAATTAAAGAAATTAACTAATTTCATTAATTTCTTTAATTTCCGGGCCTCTCTGTGAGAAATTAAAGAAATTAAAGAAATTAATTAATTTCATTAATTTCTTTAATTTCTGGGCCTCTCTGTGCGAAATTAAAGAAATTAAAGAAATTAATTAATTTCTTTAATTTCATTAATTTCATTAATTTCTTTAATTTATTTTAATTACTCCCGTGAGCCGGGGGGCCCCCCCCAATTAATTTCTTTAATTTCTTTAATTTCTGGGCCTCTCTGTGAGAAATTAAAGAAATTAAAGAAATTAATTCCGATAGCCCTTCGGGCTTGCGAGACTAATTAAAAGAAATTAATGAAATTAAAGAAATTAAAGAAATTAATGAAATTAATTAATTTCTGTAATTTCTTTAATTTCTGGGCCTCTCTGTGAGAAATTAAAGAAATTAAAGAAATTAATTAATTTCATTAATTTCTTTAATTTCTGGGCCTCTCTGTGAGAAATTAAAGAAATTAAAGAAATTAATTAATTTCATTAATTTCTTTAATTTCTGGGCCTCTCTGTGCGAAATTAAAGAAATTAAAGAAATTAAAGAAATTAATTAATTTCTTTAATTTCATTAATTTCATTAATTTCTTTAATTTATTTAATTAGTCCCGTGAGCCGGGGGGGCTCCCCCAATGAATTTCTTTAATTTCTTTAATTTCTGGGCCTCTCTGTGAAAAATTAAAGAAATTAAAGAAATTAATTAATTTCATTAATTTCTTTAATTTCGGGGCCTCTCTGTGAGAAATTAAAGAAATTAAAGAAATTAATTAATTTCATTAATTTCTGTAATTTCTGGGCCTCTCTGTGCGAAATTAAAGAAATTAAAGAAATCAATTAATTTCTTTAATTTCATTAATTTCATTAATTTCTTTAATTTATTTTAATTAGTCCCGTGAGCCGGGGGGGGCCCCCCAATTAATTTCTTTAATTTCTTTAATTTCTGGGCCTCTCTGTGAGAAATTAAAGAAATTAAAGAAATTAATTAATTTCATTAATTTCTTTAATTTCTGGGCCTCTCCGTGAGAAATTAAAGAAATTAAATAATTTCATTAATTTCTTTAATTTCTGGGCCTCTCTGTGCGAAATTAAAGAAATTAAAGAAATTAATTAATTTCTTTAATTTCATTAATTTCATTAATTTCATTAATTTCATTAATTTCTTTAGTTTATTTTAATTAGTCCCGTGAGCCGGGGGGGCTACCCCAATTAGTTTCTTTAATTTCTTTAATTTCTGTGCCTCTCTGTGAGAAATTAAAGAAATTAAAGAAATTAATTCCGGTAGCCCTTCGGGCTTGCGAGACTAATTAAAAGAAATTAAAGAAATTAAAGAAATTAAAGAAATTAAAGAAATTAATGAAATTAATGAAATTAATTAATTTCTTTAATTTCTTTAATTTCTGGGCCTCTCTGTGAGAAATTAAAGAAATTAAAGAAATTAAATTTCATTAATTTCTTTAATTTCTGGGCCTCTCTGTGAGAAATTAAAGAAATTAAAGAAATTAATTAATTTCATTAATTTCTTTAATTTCTGGGCCTCTCTGTGCGAAATTAAAGAAATTAAAGAAATTAATTAATTTCTTTAATTTCATTAATTTCATTAATTTCTTTAATTTATTTTAATTAGTCCCGTGAGCCGGGGGGGGGCCCCCAATTAATTTCTTTAATTTCTTTAATTTCTGGGCCTCTCTGTGAGAAATTAAAGAAATTAAAGAAATTAATTCCGGTAGCCCTTCGGGCTTGCGAGACTAATTAAAAGAAATTAATGAAATTAAAGAAATTAAAGAAATTAATGAAATTAATTAATTTCTTGAATTTATTGAATTTCTGGGCCTCTTTGTGAGAAATTAAAGAAATTAAATAAATTAATCAATTTCATTAATTTCTTTAATTTCTGGGCCTCTCTGTGCGAAATTAAAGAAATTAAAGAAATTAATTAATTTCTTTAATTTCATTAATTTCTTTGATTTATTTAAATTAGTCCCGTGAGCCGGGGGGGCTCCCCCAATTAATTTCTTTAATTTCTTTAATTTCTTTAGTTTATGGGCCTCTCTGTGCGAAATTAAAGAAATTAAAGAAATAAATTCCGGTAGCCCTTCGGGCTTGCGAGACTAGCCCCGAATTCGCTGTTTCCAAAACCATCGCAAGGAGCTTCCGTGGCTGGTTCCAAAACCATCGCAAATACCATGGTCCCCGAATTCGCTGGTTCCAAACGCATGGCACATACCATGGTCCCCGAATTCGCTGCTTCCAAAAGCATCGCAAATACCAGGTCCCCGAATTCGCTGTTTCCAAAACCATCGCAAGGAGCTTCCGTGGCTGGTTCCAAAAGCATCGCAAATACCATGGTCCCCGAATTCGCTGGTTCCAAACCATGGCAAATACCATGGTCCCCGAATTCGCTGTTTCCAAAAGAATCGCAAATACCATGGTCCCCGAATTCGCTGTTTCCAAAACCATCGCAAATACCATGGTCCCCGAATTCGCTGGTTCCAAAAGCATCGCAGATACCATGGTCCCCGAATTCGCTGCTTCCAAAAGCATCGCAAATGCCATGGCCCCCGAATTCGCTGGCTCCAAAAGCATCGCAAATACCATGGTCCCCGAATTCGCTGGTTCCAAACCATGGCAAATACCATGGTCCCCGAATTCGCTGGTTCCAAAACCATCGCAAATACCATGGTTAATGATTTCGCAAAATCACATGGTGCTCCAATGCCGAGCGTGCGAAAACATCGCAAATTTCATTGTTATTTAATTCCCGGCGTGCGAAACTCACTTCGGTCAGATTTCACTGTGCTTCTCTGCTCTTTGAAGCTCCAAGGCCTTCTTGCCAACCTCGCTCTTCTGTCCTTTTTTCTTTGAAAGGCGCTCTGGAGTGTGAGCTTGGACTTCAGAGCGACTGCCGATGATGCTCATGGCTGACGGCTCTCGCGTTAGATGTTTTTGTCTTTTCTTTCATAGCATCGCGTTGACAGGACGTGCGCAGCCGAGTCGGGTGCATGCAAGTGAAGTTCATACAGTTCAAGTCCGTTTACTTCAGATCTATTGAATGCCAATGAAGTGTATAGAGTTGACCACAAGTGCATGGCATTCAACTCAACACACTTGAGTGCCATGCAGTTCGAGTGCATACACGTCCAGTATACAAGTGCAGTATACAAGTGAGTATGCAACCATATAAGTGCATACACTTAAGTGCATACACTTGTCCAAGTGCATACAGTTCGAGCGCACAGAGTCAAGTGCATAGACTCAACGCACCGCAAATCGATGCTTTCGGGCCAATCGTCTTCTAGTTTAAATTAGTCCCGTGAGTTGGGTGGGCTCCCCCAATTAATTTCTTTAATTTCTTTAATTTCTGGGTCTCTCTGTGAGAAATTAAAGAAATTAAAGAAATAAAAAAGAAATTAAAGAAATTAATTCAGGCAGCCGTTCGGGCTTGCGAGACTAATTAAACGAAATTACAGAAAGTAAAGAAATTCAAGAAATTGAGGGAGTTAAAGAAATTAAAGGTTTTCAGAAATTCAAACAATAAAGAAATCAAAGAAATTAAAGAAATTAATGAAATTCATGAAACTAATTCCGGCAGCTGTTCGGGCTTGCGAGATTAATGAAAACAAATTAAAGAAATTCACAATTCATTAATTTCCGTAACTTCTTCCTGTCTGTGAGAAAAACAAGAAATGCAAGAAGTTAATTCCGGTAGTCGTTCGGGCTTACCAAAAGCAAAGGAGAATCACGTCCCATTGAAAGATAGACGAGTTGTGTCTTTGTACGTTGCGAGGTGGGGGAGCTCTTTCACAAGAGGTAGGTAGAGGACTCTCTCATGTCCGGCAAAGAGATAGAGACGATCTTTCATGACCCGCTACGAGATAGAGGAGCCTC